TACTTGGAGCTGATTCACGCAGGCAAACCTAAAGCCTCATGTGCTCTTTCTCTGCAAACAGAGCATGATGTTTCTAGGACACTTGCAGTTTAACCAAGCAGATTCTCTCTGATATTACCAATCAGTTTTGAGTAATAGTAATTAAAACTCCACTTTGCAAAAAAAATCATAATAGAAAGGAAAAACTGTGATAGGAAAGGGCTAAAAAAAAGTCAGTTGGCTTGCACTATTAGTCTGTTAAGTTGTCTATGCATATGCTACTGATTGGGGCTTGGCCAGCCTAAGTTGCTCTCGGGCTGTATGGCTTGGCCAGCCTAAATTGCTCTCGGGCTGTATTGCCTAGCATTTCCAGTCGAGCAGATACAAATATGAAGCCAGCCAGAGTCAGACAACAGGAAAGAACAGGGAGCAGGACTTGGCTGGAAATTAAGTTGATTAAGTGTGGGCTTCAGATCTGTGTTTCATTCTCCTTGTCTGGATGAGACTGTGCACAAGCATTTAAATATTTATTGTGATTAACCAAAACCACTTTGACTACATTCGACATAAATATCATAGCCCAATATAACTAACCATTGCCCATAAAGCAAGGAGAGGAAAGCACTATGATATCCTCTGCTGATACATAATTATGAAAAAATAGGCTTCCTCCTCCTCCTCCATTGGCACTGTGTTAATCTCTATATTGGCTCAAGAAAATGCCATATAATGAATAAAGGAATATCGATTCATTTTTATACTTTAGATTTGAATTCAGACTAACATAATTATGGTCTTTATGGAGATCAAACTGATTGGGTATCATAAACATTTAAACTTCTTATAAAACATCTCATAACAAGAGTTTATATTTGCTTTCAAGCACCATGCTGAGGATTTGCACACAGTTTTTATGTATAAAAATGACACATTTAATCAAATATTCATATTCCAATAGATCAAAAAATCTGAATTATTTAAATCTTAACAAAAGTCCTACAAAGATTCATTTATCATCTGTATCTCTGGAGAAATCATGGTGACTGATATTGAATCTAGAGAATGGGGGAGAAATATATGGCCATTCTCTATATGAAACGCAAAAGGATGCATCAGGAAATTAGAAATGACCAGCCTGACCTTTTCTGTCAATAAGAGATGGACTCCTAGTACACCATTGGCTCTGAAAGTACACATAATTTCTCACAAATTTGGTGTTATTCTCTGTTGCAGATCAGGCAGCCAGAAAAGGATATTAAAGAAAAAACCAAATGATAGCATGAAGCCACCTTTACTAAAATTCATGGACAATATTTTTGTGATAGGGACTGCGACGTGTCTACTGTAAAGGAGCTGTTAGGGTACATGCAAACTCTTGGGTCCTCATTCAACACAATAAGGGTCTGCTGTGTTAAGGACACTGAAAAGGGATACAAGAACTAAGACGTTCAAAGGTCTTCAATTGACAAATGAGTCTAAATTCCATTTAGAACTCATAATGCAAATTCAATTCCAGATTTACCAAAATATTTACATTTTTAGCAGCTAAACCAGGGATTTTTTATGTACGTCAGGTAGCTCCCCACTGTTAATTTCAGGCCCACCCAGCTACACTGATTTAAAAAATGGAACAATGATCCCTAGGTCATTTTGGTGCTTTTGAAAAGCTTTTCATCAGCAGTTCTGGGGAGGTAATAAGAATGACTAACAGGCTAAGTAAATTAACCCTGAAGAGAAGAAAATTCCTACCCAAGAATAGGCAAGTCAAAGGATCAACTTTAGAAACAGTGAAAAAAGAACTCTTAAAATTTGTCAAGGGATTAAGAATAGAAAAGTAGCAGGAAAAGAAACAAAGATTATTTAACTATATCCAGCCACCATCTCTGAGAGCCACTCTGCCTTGCCCCGCATGATTGGCTGAACAAATTGTCCTCTCCTCTACTCCCCACAACAAGAACCCCTACCATGATAAATAGAAATAGTTATGGCTTGCTTTACAAATATTTGATTCTGAAAGTATGAAATAGAGGAAAAATCATTTGGGGTCTTAGGTCAGTACTGGAAGACATGTAATCTTCCTGATCAGGAAGTTGAACTGGAAGACATTTATTTTTCCTAAAGCAGCTTCTCTATGACTAAAGACCTCTGGAAGGACTACAATATAAAGAATAAAACAATTAATTTGACCTCTAGACAGAGGTAATGGCTGAAACGTGTGCTGTCTTTAGGTATTTGAGTAACCCCACCGAAAGCAAACAGCAAGGCCCTATCATGTCTTGAACGTAGTTGAGCAACAGCTTCTTTCATTGGGTTTGCTTCATATTTTCTGAGGTTTTCAGCTGCGTCCACTAGTTATGGATAAGTCATGAAATATTTGGAGTCTACTCTAAGCTCACATGTAGTCTGCAAAGTTTAACAGCATGAAAAAGTTATGGAAATTGATACTTTTTATGTGATTTACTGCTTTTTATGGTCTGTTATGTCACTTATAGCATCACATATAATCCTCAGCCAAGTTTAATATTTTGTCTTCAGACCACTAGCTCATCTCAGCTGTTTTACTAGCCTGAATTACGTTATATCCTAAACTGAGAGGATGTATTTTTTCTTTCTAGTATGCCCACACTATTTCCTTTATAACATGAGATATTCTTAAAATGAGATGTGTCTACCCAAACAGCTATTGTGGTATAAAACAAATCAATCTTTTTTGACTGCTACTTTGAGTTTTACTCCAATTCTCTTGAAGGCTATTTCTCACAGGTACTGCTCATGAAAACACTCAGGACTGGGCTGACTTTCCGAAGGATATATAGTGTAAATCAGGCTAACAGACACATAGGAATGGGCATCTCGATTAAGATATGTGGAAAACATTGTGATTATCAGCTGTTGTCCTTAAAAAGGCTTGTGGTCAAAAAAACTTAATGATCAAACACTTTCATTTGTTCAGCACTCTCTAGAGTTTTTGCAGATGTTCTTTGCTTTAGAATCACTGAAGTAGAAAAGTCTGACTACATTCATCAGTTAAAAGTATTTTACTCCTAGTGGAGGGGTATAGTTGGACTTGATGATCTTAAAGATCTTTTCCAACCAAACGATTCTGATTCTATGATTCTCACTCTAAGATGGGGCTGTTAACTTTTCTGGTTTAATTAAAAATATTTCAGATATGAAATAAATATTAAAAATCAGTGATATTTTAAAAAAATAAATGTTATATTCTGATTATTTCAGATAAAAACTATTCATACAATTCCAGGATTGGGACTTTCAGAAAAACAACAAGTGTCACAAAAAGATGAAAGGTGACAACAGTGCTGATCTGGCTTTTTTAAAGTTTATGGGAAATAGATTGATGTTGTTGAAAAGTACAAAGGGCAATGAATATGTATACATCTGGTAGCAGATACAGATGATCTGATTTTTTGATGTGCACTCTGTGCAGTTGCTTATGGCCCTGCAGAAGGTGCTTGGGTTGACAGGGTGCCCGTGGCCAGAGCTGGCCTGGCTGGAGCAAAGCTTGGGTAACCCCCTGGGGCTGCACGCTGAGTTAATGCATCAGGATGGCTGATCATCTTTGGGGATGTAGGAGGGGACTCTGCTGGTGTCAACAGAGCAAGACCTATTTGTAGCAGCTGAGAAAATCCTCTAGGACTTGCAGAACTTGAGAGCAAGGGGAGTGCAAGTGGCAACCTGGGGACAGCAGAGATGACAAGGTGTGGCAAAGCAGTGGCCTTTGGGAAATAGGTTGTACCTTCCTTCTCTCGTTACCAACAAGCAGATAAAATAGGTGAATAAAATCAGACATGATTACTGCCAACATTTATGTTGCTTCCAAAAATACAGCTGTAGAGCAACTAGGATTTTTTGGTTAGTACCTCGTCTTCCCAGCTGTGCAACTGTACTGCAAACTTCCCGGGTTTCTTAAAATCATGTAAGACATCTGAGAACTGGAGGATGGTCCAGTTGCTAAGCTTTGAATAAAGGGTCCTGGATCATTTATTTGTTCTGTCACTAGTATTTGGTTACAGCGTATGTCACTAGTATGTGGAAAAAAATCATTTGATCTCCATGAAAGAACCTCTGAGACTTTGAGGAAGCAAATGGGTCTTGCCCTAGCCCACACATCTGTTGTCCCCCTGTGTTTACATACTGTAATTAGACTCTGTATGTCACCGGGAGGGTACAGGCTCTAGTGAAAGTGATGAATAATCAACCTTTATTTAATGCTACTTCTCTTTTAAAAGGGACCAAGGGGGGGGGGGGGGCAAAACAAAAAACCCCAAACCAAACCCTGAAACCAGGCCAGCTAAAGGATACAAAAGTAATATATCAAAGGATGTGAAGGATCAGAGGAGAAGGAAATGACTGATTCCCTTAGACTGTGATGTGACCTTTTGGACCCTATAACCAGAAAGAGAGGCCAAATGGCAGAGGAAAGGAAAGCCCAGGACCCCTGTCCCACCACAACTTACCTCCCAATCTAGAAGCTATTTGCTGGTCTTCTAGGTGACCCTTCCTCTCCCATGGACCGCAGTGAAACATCTGCGTTCCAGAGTTTGGCCGCAGTCAGCGAGCTGCCTATCTTTCACAGGGTGACACGAGGCTGACACATCCACTTCACCAGGCGAGCAGGGAGGTAGAAGCACCAAACACAGAAAGCCACAACTTCATCCTTTCCTGCTTCCAGTCACGATCTAAAGCAGAAGTATGAGGTAGATAGGGGAGATTTAATAGACGGCCATATAGCTTCCATTGGAAATATGCAGAGCAGCTAGCCTTCACTGTCACTTGCAAAATAAATCACCAGCACCTGGGATATGCGGTTTTATTATCAATCAGGCTTGAAATATTTCCTCCTTAATAGCCAAATGTCTGGAGGTGGATTCTCCACTGAATATAATAGCAGACCTTAACTTTTGACCAAAAGCAAAGGACACCAAAGGACACTTTTATGTGTAAGGACATGCTAAAGATGTCTAATCTTAAATTATTGTTTTTCTTTCACAGGGGAAGAAACCCTTCATGGTCCCGTTTTTATCCAAGAGCCATATGATATCACTTATTCCATGGGCTCAGCAAATCCAGAAATCCTACTGAATTGTACAGCTAAGGGATATCCACTCCCATACTACAGGTGAAGTCAACTTTGCAAAAGTATTGTCTCATTGTAAAACTTTTAACAGTGTTTTAATCAGTACTACATCAGCATACGAACCTCAAAATTGGTGGAGCACTCACAGCAAGAGTATACATGGGTACAGTAAATTTGAGGAATGAAGAAAAAATATTTTTGCAAGCCTACTGTTAAGAAAATTAACACAGGAAAAGAAAGCACATCATTGAAAATTGTCCCCAAAGTATTTCAAAACATACAAAATTACTTCTGAATCCACAGAACAGCTGTGAAAAATGGAAAAATGGAAATACTGCACATTTGTATTTGATAAAACTTTCCGTACATCGATAAATGCTTGGAAAGCAGAAGAGCAACATCCTTGCCCATTTCTAATTCTAACATTTCGTGTGTATATTTATAGTGTTTATTTAGAGAAACAGCAAGGCACAGCTCTGATATCTAGCTTACAATACCCTGTAGACTCACTTAAAACCTTGGTCCATAGGATTGTTTGTTTATTCAATGACTATGGGCCCCTCATTTAAAACATAGCTTGCTGCACCAAAGGACCTGGAAACCTGAGTCTAATAAGAGGAAAAGCTGGAAATCTGAAAAAAAAATGGTGTGCTTTCTTCAGAAAAGAATGGGGAAAATAATAGTCTGGGAAAAACAAAATAATAAAAAAACATAATTCAGGCAAGACATGAAAGAAAATTGTGTCCTAGCAAATACTTAGACAATATTAACCCAATAGCTATGAATTGCTCACACAACAGTTTCCTCTAAAGTACCACTACTAGTTATCAACTTGGCTTTTGTACTTCATGTATTAATTTGTTTCCAAATATCGTGCTAGTAAAGGAATACTAACTCCTTTTCACAGTCTAACTCCTCTACCCATGAGTAGAAATCCTCACCCATTTCCCATCCCATTTGCTCTTCGTGTTTTACACATGAACATCTGGTTTATGTCATGAACTTCAAGTTTTTCCAGTTCATCCATCCATCTGCTTCATCTCCATGTATACAGGCAGCTTCCTCAGAGACCTATAAAAATTATTGACTCCTCTGTTCCACCCATGGACTCCTCACACACACAAAGAGTAGAGAGAGCTGGTTTCATTAGGCAGATGAGCCATGAAGTCTCCTCCCTTTATATATCTGATATTCATATTTTCTCTTTCATTTTTTTCCTACCCACCCATTAATTAGATTCGTTATTTTCTTTGCACTATAAGGACATTTTGTAAAGCCTCAGTTACTAGAGTAAGATGAGATTAACATCTGGGGATGGATTCTGAACCATCTAGGTCAATTAGAAGTTATCAGACTACCACTGATATACTACTGCTATTACAGCCTGGGAGCTTTTCACCATGACTTGAAAGGAACGGGGAGTCTTCAGCACTTCTCTTTGATCTCACTAGAGCTAACGCCAGTTTTGTCAGATAAGGATTGAGCCCATATATTTAAAGTTCCAACAATTTTAGATAAATCAAGCACAGTCTGAAATTTGAAACATATCCTTTGTTGAGTGATGGAAAAGAACAGCAAGGACTACTTCAAGGTTTCCCTTTGATTCAGAAATACAGAACCACTACAACAGGAATAAAGTTATATACAGGCTAATTTGCTATTTAGCACCTTTTACACGAGTACACTGATTAATACCTTTTCTGTAAAGAAAAAAATGCTTAGCATTTCCTAAATGCTTTATTTTATGATGTACTATATCAGTCTTATAGACTTGTCAGATATAGTAGTAACTTTTTGCAACTTCATTTCAAAACCCTGTGTCTAACAACTGCAATGCAAGAATTGTATAGAACTGAAGTAGGCATAAGGGCTAAGTAATAAAAAGTGAGAGACACTGATTTCCTGTTGGACACCGTTGGAAGTAATAGAGAACATAAATCTGATTACAACAGAAACAAAAATATGAATAGAAGTATCTCCAAACCAGTACGTGTTAGGAAATCTCTATAAATGTGCTGATAAATGCCATTTTATCTATGATGCCTTTTTCATTAAAGTCAGAGTTGTTTACAATATAGGCACATTATTTGAACTATTTCCCTGTGTGATGCTGGTGGTAAATAAACATAACCTTTCAGATTAGATATATAATTTTTTGCACTTAATCTTTTCTGTTATAGTTGAGGGATTATCATCAGCTAACTTAAGGAATGAATTTTACTACTTCTGCTTACAGCCTATCCATGAACAATCACAGTTCCACAGTTTTATTCCATTAAATCATTCAGTTCAGTACAGATAACCTTCCTCCACATTAAAAAAAAACCAAAACCAAAAATAAAAAACCCAAACAGGAAAAAAGTCACCCAGAGCTTGCAAAGCAAGTGTTTTCTGCAGTATTTTGACATTTTCTGTTTGATTGCAGGTGCTTAATTCTGACTTTTTTGAACTTACCTTCAGTATCTGAGTAATCACGTAATCTAGCATTTCCATGCAAGTTTGAAATTGAGGATTTTTTCCCCCTTGATAATTTTCAGAGAGTAGTCAATTGAACAAATAAATAAGAAATCCAAGGACAGAATAAGCATCATTCATTATAACAATATTTTAATATTTCAGCATATTTTAGAGTGATGCAGTAAAATAAAGAGATTCAAATTCAATCCAAATCAAAGTACCACAGAAGATAACTGTAACAGACAAATAAAAGTGAGGGGAGCCGAAGCACAAAGTCTGCAATGATTGCAAATGACGTAAAATGTGTTTATAATCATTGCATAAAATTGTAGAATGATTCCCAGTAACCTCAAAAATATATTTGTCTTATTCATACCCTTGAAGAACAAATGACAACCCTGCTATAGCGTACTTGTTCACTAAAAAGCTGTCCCTTGACTCATTGCAGGTTCTGCTTCAGAAGTGGAGTAGAATTTAAAAATGCCTTCAACCTCCCTTCTCTTGTACACAGTCAATAGTTTTTAAACTTTGTTTTTTTTTCCTCTATGGAAATACTGGATTCTAGGGGGGGGTTGCAATTTTTTTTTTTCCCCAATTAGAAGAAACTCTCAGGTGACTTGGCAGGACATTTGCATCTGAAGGCAAATAACCTAAGAAACACAGAACACAATGAAGACTTAAAAAATATGTATTTATATTATAGCAGTACACTGAAAAGATAATTCATTAAATCATGTATGCACATATCCACACAGGAAGTAGTTCAAATTAGGGAACGATACAAGGAAGAGTTTCTAGCTGCAATAACTTTGGTACAAAATCACAATGCAGCCATGCGTGCCTTGTAAAACTTCCAGGATTTTACTTTTTCCTAAATGTATCTTTTCTTTTTTAAAGGCAAGCAAAGCAGCTTAATGAAATTTTGCATTTAAATTTACCCAAAATATTTGCACATTGCCTAAGTGGAATTCCTTAATTGCTTTGAGATTTGTACATCAATAGTTTCACTGAAATTTATACACCTTCACTTTTCATTTCCAAAAAGAAATCGCATCTTCAGAAAGAGTTTCCTTTTTCTAAATATCTTCTATGGAAAAATATTCTTTTCCAGATTCATTAACCATAGAAATGGGACTTATTATAGCTCCTTAGACATTATATAGCACTGTATAGTGCCTTACAGATGCAATCAGAAATTTCCTGGCTAATTATCCACTTATCAGAAATCATAATCCTGTGTCAAAAGTTAAAATTTTCCCTACCAAAATATCGAAGGTCGTAGGTGACCAAACAGCAGTTTTATCTCCCCCAAACAAATTTCTTGCTCTGAAGCTCATTATCAGCCTGTGTAAGTGCTGGGTTGCAAGCCACATGCCTCATGCCTGTATTTTTTCTCTCTGAAGTGGAGGCTCCAGGCTGAGGACTTCGTCTCCTCAGGTCTGCTGGGTTTACTTGAACATGGGTCAGGGTGTAGGGAGAGGTCAGGATCATGGTGTCAGCAGATAAACGGCCCAGAAATTCTACTCAGAGAGGATAAGGGAAGTCTAAACACAGGAGAAACCTGCATGCATGCAACTTAACAGTCAACCTGTCTATAAGGAAAATATTGACATTTCTCTAATAAGTCCTAAGAATATTCATATTCTGCAAAGATTCTAATATTTCACCATTTTTATAAGTCTTACATGCTTCTGTGTTCTTTGAACATTTTTAGATAGATCAATGTTTTTCAGTGTGAAAACCCAACAGAAATTCATTGTATTATTTTTTCCACAATCCTTTTATAAGATACTACCCTAAAGACAGATTACATAATTTGCAGCTGCATTGTAAATACACGTTACTCACATATTCATGTTCATTAATAAATCCTCCTCCTCCTCATTTTTATTTGCTTGGAGATGGAGACTACTTGAATAACAAATCACAAGTATTGATTAAGTAGCATAAATAAGAGGAAATAATAATATATTACAAGTTCATCTCTACATCAGTGACTTGACTGCAGTGTGTACTTAAAGAAGTTCCCAATAAGTCCAGCATCAAAGATTTAACATAATGCAGTGGCTTGGAAGAATACGAGTATATATGAATGTTAGGATAAATTGGTAACAATTTAAAAAAGAGAACAAGAGAGAATAGACTACATCTTGTTTGAGACCTTTAAGTCAGGATGGGAAGGGGAGAGGTCCCACATATATATATTCTGAAAGTCTTTAACTTAATGAAAAATTTATTGGGAACATTTTATAAATGGAGTTCTACAAAAAGTTAGATTTTGAAGCAAATAGAATACGATCATTAGTTCTATGAATTCATAAAGCACACAGCTGCTTTTCTAAGTTTTAGACAGATCAATACGATTTGAGAAGTCTTACATTCCTAGGAACTAATGAATTCTGCAGAGTATAACATTTTTCTTAAAGTTTAGGTTCTGAAACAATAGGTCCAGGATACATTTCCCATAACTGATGAAAAGCATCTTCCAATGGTTGCATAAAGTAGTTCATGAAAATACGCAGGTGAACCCTGCCGTAACAAGCTTATGTTAAAAAAATTTTCTTAAAGTAATTCTTCAAAGGTTTCTGTGTATTAGACAGTATACTGCAGAAAACACAAAGTCATTAAATCATTGTCTAGCCCATGAATTCATTAATTCGCTTCCTTCAGTGATGTAAACATATTAATTAGGAAAAAGCCCACACCAGGAGATGAACCCCTGATCTATATGCGAAGTTTAATAATCATTGTACCATGGTGATTAGAATGATTATGGGGATACTGTGAAGAATTCATTTGCGGCAACTAAGCCAACAACTTTGCATTTGTTTTGAAAAACAATTATAAAGCTTAATTGGGAGCCATGTAATGATGACAGCGGTTATTTCAGTGATTGATTCTGAAATTAAAGAGAACTGGCAAACTAAATACGAGAATATCCTAAAATAGAGAATTGAAACGTTTAGACAGCATGTACCATATGTAAATCCTGAAATACAGCAAAATCCTAACACTGGTATAGGCTATTGCTTCATAGAACAGATTCATGGATGGGCACCGGCTAAGATTTTGCTCATCTTTGGAAAAAAAATAAAAAGCCAAAATACCACAAACCAGCAAAAACCTAGACCAGCTAAAGCAAAACATAAGGAATAGAGCAGAGGTATGGAAAGGTCAAAAATCAGCTGCAATTGGCAGGAAGAATTACAGATGTCCACTGTTGCATCTGAATTTCTTAACATTAATGCATTCATGAAAGAGGGGGCAGTGATTGCCAGATCCAGGTAAATTATTTAATGTCTAGAATTTATTCACAGAATCCAACTGATTTCATATTTTAATCAGTCATTACTCATCTTCAAAAACAAGCAGTACCCATTTAAAAGGTCAGGACTCTCACTTCCTCTGCAGATATTTGTCAAGATTTCCCCTGGAACACAGAACTGCATTTCACAGCACAGTTTGAAAATCTTCCTCCAAAAGAACCACCACCTGTGTGGTCTGATCATGTAGAGAAAGGTCTGTGGGTGACAGAAGTAAAGTACTGTGTTGGATATCCAGGTCAGATCTTCCAGGAATATAGTTTACAGTGCAAGTTTGCTTTAATTTGTTAACTCTGGAAGCTACCATCACTGTCAGTAAGTTCATCTCCACAAATAACAAGAAATAGAAAAGTTTTGTGCTGTGATCCTCCAGATAATTACCAAGGAGACAGTTGCCCTTGTTTGGAGGTCTGCCATAAAGCATTCCGCAAACCCAAAGTGAGCCATTAGCAACTCCTGCGTGGCCTTCGCATCCTACGGAGGGATAAGGCATCATGCTCACACAGGTCAACAGAAATGATACAGGCTGAGGAGATGGTTGTGATATAAAATTAGGAGAAGAAATGTGGCTATGTAATTTAAAGGTTGCTGACAACCTAAAGCATGGCATTAACAAGCCCAAAGCCTGCAGACATCAGTGACTGAGCTTCTTGATTCTTTCTTTGGACCTCATGTGGACAATGAAAATTCAACCCTTATGTGACTAACAGTAAAGCCACAAAATTTCCCTCCTTGAAACATACAATATTTATTTTCTTTGAAATACAAATTTTATTCTGACCTCTGTAAATAGCTGTGTAACATTGCAGACACAATCCATTTTCCATTTAGTGGACTAACAGGGACAAATCATGTTTTAAAATAGCAGCATTCTCATCATTAAATGATCAGTCTCAAACTTGCTGTGTAAACCCTTCTCTCTCTGCTTTCATCTGTCCTCTGAACTGTGATCCTTCCTGATCTATCTCTCCAAATCATTTTTGTAACCAAATTTATGACATCATTTGTGAGGACTGCAAATCGCATTCAGGTACCATTTATATTCTAAAAAAAATAAGGTAGCTGTAGTCAAGGCATTTACCATAGTCCCAGTTGGATGGATAACTCAGTTTGTATGAATCAGTTCTAATTACTTTTTGTAGACATTTGGATGAACACTAGCGACTAGCATAAAAGCAGTAAAGATTTTTCAAAGAACAGAATTATTGATACCATTAAGATTGATACAAGAAGCAGTCTTGTGTGAAAAACAGTATAATTTTGTGATATTTAACTACATTTTTATCATTACAGGTATGCTACAGCACACTATTTAAGATAAATATGAATAGGCTCTGTAAATTATAAGCATAATTTGATTTTTTTCCCCTCAAAGGTGGAAGCAAAATGGCACAGATATTGATCTTACCATGAGTTATCACTACAGGTTGGTTGGAGGCAGCTTGGCAATCAATAACCCACATAAAAAACAGGATATTGGAACATACCAGTGTTTGGCCACAAATTCATTTGGAACAATTCTGAGCAGGAAGGCAAAGCTTCAATTTGCATGTAAGTTGGGAAGATCATATTTATTACATCATTATTTCCCAATTAATTCTGCACATGAACTGTAATTTATTGGATAATTAAAGCATCATCAGTGATTCTGTTCAAAATGTTTGGCTTACTTCAGCAGTGCTTATTCTTAAAAAAATCATTCCTAGTAAATATTAATAACAAAAACATGCATCTGGTGGCTGCTAGGCCCGCAGGAGCAAGAACAGCTTTCAGAAAATTGAAAGGTCAAGGAAGATGAGTGCAGTTATTTTCATTTAATAAAGGTGTTTGCACTTTTTAAGACAGTGCTTTCTTTGCTATATCTCAGGTAGTTACAGCTGGGGGGGAATGTTGCAAAAAGTTCAGCTTTCTATTTTCTACAGTGTAATGAGGTCTAACTGAGCCATAAAAACATTGTACCCCTAATTGCCACACCGTTATTTTTTGACATTAACAGGGTAAAACCCACCTTTCCATTACACAGTGTGCGCAATGGCGAGCTCTGCTCCGAAATGTTTCATTTCAGCTCAGTGGGGTAGAGCATGTATGCTGTCTGGAGATGATTTAAAATTTATTTCAGGCTTGCTCCCCGTTTCACTTCTTCACAACTTCGCAATCTTTTTCACAACGTTTATGTGTAGCGACTGAGTTCTGGTAATGCCCTGGGGTGGGGGCAAACAACAGCAACAACAAAAAAAAAATCCCAGATATTACCTCCACTCCTTTTGCAATATAGAGGTCTGAGCTGTCTGTTGCTGGGAGAAAGCAATTGTTTTCAAACCTCATTAATAAAACATGTGTCTAAAGCCAGCCTTGTGTCGCTATTTCAGACACCAGCAAATGTATTAATTATTAATCTTGTTCCATTTCTCATAGCAAATCTCATGTCGCAGGGGTTATACAAAGGAGACATTAGAGGTCAGGATGGTTCGCAGACTCTCTTTTAGTAGAGCTGATCAAACAGTATATCGCTAGTATCTCATTTAATAATGTTTTACCCTGAATTTCTCAAAGAGCTTTTGATTCCCAAAAGCTGGTCAAAAAGCAACAAAAATTTTGATTCATTAATTTCCCACTTTTTCTGAAACATCTTTGCAAGCCAGCCTTCCTGTATGGGAAAGCATTTCAAGATCTGGAGATGAAAATTCTTTAATGATGGAAGAAATCCCAGTTTAGAAAGAAGCAAGAATAGATGGCCACCTCAAAATTGTCTATGGAATCTGCAATCCCCAAGGAACCAGGATAGGCCAGGAAGAGACAGCTGGGAAAAGAGCTAAAGAAAAGGAATACCCTCAAATGAATGCATAAAAGTATAAAAAGAGGGGAAGAAAAGGAAAAAATGGGAATATCTGACAGAAAGAAGGCTCTGGTGATCATTCAGCATACCATATTACTCAGTGATTTCATCTTTTTCTGGAAAATTCTACCCCTGATTCAAATTCCTGGAAGCACTTTCCCATTCACTGTTCTCCCAGCCCACAGGGAATCACACCAGCTGGGTGCACCAGCTCTTGGGGTGTATAAACAGCTCTTCTGGCCAGTGCCTCTGCATAATATTTAATTGCACCTCCTTCCTCTGGTTTTCTATGTTTACTTTTACCTATTGCCATTTCATAACCATGTGTAGGACCAAAGCTAGGTCTGGAGAATTGTCTTCTTTTAACCCTTTGCAAGGAGAAGGGTTTGGAGAAAGCTGAAAGAGTGAAAGAAGTGAAAGAAAGCTTATGGGGAAAGCCTCCCTGGTCAGAGAGAGAGGAGAAGAGTCTTTTCTCAGGATTCTGGTCCGTATTTGTCCCTACATTCACAAATGCATCCCTGATAGTCCTCAGGGGAATAAGAGACACTGGTTGGCACAGAAGGGTCTCATCTTCAAGCTCTTGTTAGAAATGTGATCCTTTGGAAGTTTTCCCTAGTAGAAAAGAGTAACTGTACAGCATACCACACTGCTTTCTTTAGGAGACTGAGTTTACTAGGGATCTAACCATGGGTGCGCACCTTCCCATGGAGAGCAAGGCAGCTCAGAGCCCTCTTGCAACTCCTCCCCTCCTGGTGTGGCTGCAGGCCAGGGGTCTGCACTCAGACATGCAAACCCAAAAGAAGTCACATCTGATTTTCTAGCCCAGGGCAAAGCACCTCTCAGCACAACACAGCTGATGCCACTTAGCCACTAGAGGACCTGCTTACCAGAAAATGAACTTTGTCAATGGCATTAAATATTTTCAGTGTTAAACACCAGTTCTTTAATATTCCATGCTGGCAAAGCACTCCACCTGAAGCACTTAACTCACTAATAGCTTGAAGTCTCATGCCAATAAACAATAATCAAAATGGGCTAAATATCAAGCAGTCCCTTTACTTAGGCTTCGTACCCCTACCAAGACATTTCCCAAAGTTACCACAGGGAGCAGGTCACAGCAAAGTTGGGTCTTGTGTGGCCACAGCAGCAGACAAACCCCCAGCTACGATCCCACTTTAATCCTCCAGTTCTTAACAGCAGCCGTACAACAGCAAATATATCCCATATTCAAGCAGCGCACAACTTTTTCATTAGTGGTGACAGACATTTACATCCTTTCCCATATAAAAGAGGACAGACAAATTGAAGGTTGTCATTTACAAACATACAGGAAAATGCTTCAATTTAGCAGCATCATGGTGAAACTATGATTTTTAACTTGTCTTACAACAAAAAACCCCCACAGTACATGAAAGGTGTTATAATGACCTGATGAGAACAGTGGAACGAATTACCTTGAAACAGTTATTTCACAGTTAACATTTTCTTATTTCTGATTTTCATGTTGCCATCCAATTTACTTCTTTGTTTCAACCAATATTTCAGGCTACAGCTTAAAATCCAGGCAAGCAGGCATGTTGATGTTATGACACTTTCATTCAATACCCAACAAAACGGAACTCTTCCCCGAATCGGGCTGCCTGGCATATTATTGCAATCACCACGATAAATAATTGAATCGAGCCTATTATCCAAGTAACAGGCTTTATGCGTATGTCTTTTTACTACAAGGTAACCAACTCTGAGTTGGAATTAACGCTGCCTCTGGAAGTCTGTTGTACATCTCGGCATAATATGTGAAAAATACCTTTTCCTCTGTTCAAGATAGTGAGCTCAGAGTAGCAAAATATATGTGGTATGAGATTAGAAATATGTCTTCAGATTCCACCGGAGTTTCATGCTTATCCTCTATTAAAAACAGAGCTGTCAAATGAAAGCTGCAGGAGGAATATTGTACAGAAGGAACTGGCATAGATTATTAAAGCTACGAGCTGAAAATGAGAGACAGCATCAGTGAGAGAGAGCAGAGCAAGAGCACATAAATGCATTAGCGGATCCATAGGATGGCAGTCCTAAGGTATTTGTACATCCTGGCAAAGGTTTGTTTTGTCATAAATAAAGCTGAAAGCTCCCTATAAATCCTGCACATCTCTTGCTACCCAGCAAGCAGTGCATTTTGAAACTGAACGTGTGTTTCGCAAGAGCTGGAGCTGTTGATCTGGATCTTCAGCCTGGTTACAAAGCATTGGTGTCAGATCCCAGCTCAGGCAGCCAGAGCCTGTCCCAGATGCAGGGCTCCTCATGCAGATTCGAGTTCTGAGCTTTGCTCCCGAGCCACAACCTACAACCCATGCAGTACTTTTCCCCCCTCCAATTTCAGTATTGACATCCAACACAAGGTCACCAGTAACGCCTCAGATCTACACAAAGGGAAGGTCAAAGACAACTCCATGGGGAGTTCATCTCTGAACTATGCAAGAGTCAGCTTGAAGAAAGAGATGGGGACATATAAGGAAGAAATCTTTCCAGTGATGGTGGTGAAACCCTGGCAGGGGTTGCCCAGAGAGGGGGTGGAGGCCCCATCCCTGGGAACATTCCAGGCCAGGTTGGACAGGGCTGTGAGCAACCTGATGTGGTTCAAGGTGTCCCTGCTCCTGCAGGGGGGTTGGGCTGGGTGACCTCTAGGGGTCCCTTCCAACCCAAACCATTCTGTGATTCTATGACATGGAAGGCTTTCCTTCAGGTTTTGCGCAACATGGTTTCCAAACCAAAATGAAGATGCTTGGGCACAGGCTTCCCAGTTGTCACTGGTTTTGCCTCTCCTGCATGCACATGAGAGCAGGAACATCTGCTAAAATCTGCCCCAGATGCCCTGGGCCCCTCCCCCAGCAGAGCCACCTCCCAAAGCCACCACAGAGCCTGACCAGGCACGAACACAGCAGCTAGCACTTCTGAGCCAGAGACAGCACCATCACAGTCATGTTCAAATCTCACAAAAGAAAAAAAAAATCCAGGTTTAGAGCAGTATTTTGATCAGTAAAGCTGCAGCTTCTCCTATTCTGTGGTGCCAAGGTGCACTTACATGCATATTAATTAGGTGTTTTGCAAAACTTTTTTAAATAGAGAGCATCTAAACTGCATTTCATGCCTTAAAAAAGGACAAAAAACTGTTAGAGAACTGCATAAATATGGCTTCAACCAGAACTCTGTCCCAAGGCACACAGGGGATTGGTTTTAATTATTTCATCTGTTTTAAGTAAAAGTAACTGTGTGCAAACAACTGGTCTTGAGGGAAATCCCCATCGTTAGCTGCAGTAAAACATTCTGTCCAGGCCTGTTACCAATTCTTTTAGTTCTCATATACATCTATAACAGAGACATTAACAGATACGTAGGAGAAACAAGAAGTGCAATTAAACAAACTAGAAAAAAAAAAGAACTCCACCATGAAAGACAATCGCGTGTGAACCTATTTCATAACTATTCAGGTCATAAACCCAGAAAATTTGGTGTTAATTGAAAGCATCTAGTTGCCTGGCAATCTTAAATGAGGTTCTCCATCAAATTGTCCTACCATTGCTGATAGACAGTCGTGGTGACTGTGGTTTTCTCAGACCTCAGGCCCCCATCATTAACCATGAATTCTGAGAAACAATGACAACTATTTCAAGTCATGACCAGGATTAGTCATTTTGTCCTGGACTGCACAGGAGGG